GAACAATTGGTGCATCGCTCAACACGAATGCACCGGACGTCTTATCCTTTAGGCCGCGACATCGTCTGAATCGGAGTCGCTACTTCCGGCTACTAAGAATAATGCCATCGTGCCGCGCCGCCTTCTCGAAGAATCTGGGTGAAGACGATCGTGTTATAATATCAGAATTTACTTCCGCAGTTTTTATACATAAACATCACAAGAAATCATTTAGAAAACTGGCTGTTTTTTTTAGGAACACAACCCACTATATACCGGTGTTTCCTAACGTGGGGCCCACGCCCCACAAGTAGGCAATTTGATAAATAAGGGGGGCAATCGCACGAAATTAATATAGAAAATCTGTATTAAAATTATTTTGAACTAGCGGCCCGCTCCCGCTCCACTCGGGTCTTTAACAAAAACTTCAACGATATTTGACGTTGCTTTATTATTTTAAATAAAAGAACACTTATTGCGGTATAACTATAATAGTTAGACATATGCTGTCGCGACGCTTTTTGTAATTAATAATATGTTCTACAAAGTCGTAGTACATTATTTTATTGTATGATCAATAGTTTTCTCAGGGCACGCGATGTAAAGAATATTTTAGGTAATATTTTTAGACCTAGGGTTACATTATTGGAGTTTTAGTAAGGATCACTAATTTTTTTCAAAAAAGATTATACGTAGCCTATGTCACTCGGGAATAGTGTAGCTTCCAAACAGTGAAAGAATTTTTCAAATCGGTTCCGTAGTTTCGGAGCCTATTCAATACAAACAAACAAATCTTTCCTCTTTATAATATTAGTATAGAAGTACAGAGGTATAGATTTGAATTTCGGCTTTTTATTATAAACTAGAGGTCCCGCAGTAGTCGAAATTCGACTATAATCAATTGGAATTGTAAGTTTGTACACTATTATGATTGTATTTTATACTTCTATGATTACAAATTTCGCCAAGACTACACTATAAAAAATATTAACAAAGACAAACAATATTTAATCTTAATTTGACAACAGACGTCAAGAACAAAAGTTTGACAATAAATAGTATGCATGCATGTGTGTCAAATACATGGTATGTAGTGTGTGTAATGTTTTCTTTATTGATTTAATGTATCTTTTATGCATTATTTAAAAAAAAAATTAGCATTGTGCACTTCTTCTCTATATTGTGTATAAGTGTGGAAAATTTCATACTCCTCCGTCCGCGCAATTTAAATTAAAAGGGATACAAAGTTTTGCTTCACGTATTAATATATAGATTTTGAAATATTAATTACTGTGTTTTGATAACAAATTCATAGTGATTTCTTCCTAAAACCTATCATTTATGTTTCTTAAGTGAAAAAAACAATTTTTTAATGTTATAACTTTTTTGACGGGGGGGGCATACAATTTTAGAAATGTTACAGTGGGGCATGGCATGCATGGCACAAAATAGGTTGGGAAGCACTGCTATAGATTCTATAATATAGAGCAAAAGTTGCTAAATGGCGGACTGCGAGAATACAGCAACTTGCAGCAACAGAGTAGGCAATTCTCCAGTGAAGAGTTCTAGATAAAATTTCTGTGTAATAAATATACAGAACTACAAAAATTTGCTTTGAAACTTCTTACTTTGTTTGGGTCAAGTAGGTACCTTACCTAATACATATTTTTGAAGCAACATTTTCGAAGATCAACCACGTTATGAACATAACCAGGATTTAATGTCAATAGCTCGCACCAATTTTACTCCAAAATTCCGAGAGATAGTCCGCAAAAACATCAATTTTTTTTCTCAATGTTAAGTCAAGAAAATACTTTTTTATTTCCATAATTACATTGGTTTAATAAATATGTTTTACTATAAAATATTGTGCGGACCGCGATAGTCATTTCATTTCTTAAAACGGACCCCGAACGAAACTAATTGGTGACCGCTGTTATATTATAGTGTCAAAAACTAATTGTATTTTTCAATACCTACCTAATTCAAAACACTAAAATCGAACTAACCGTTTGTGTCTTCTCTTCAATAACCGAACTATCATATCCTTTACTTACACTGAATCTCTACCATCATCATCATCATTATCCTGCCCTTCTCCCAGTTACCTGGGGTCGGCGCAACATGTTTTCTCCTTCCATACTCTTCTATCATATACCATTTCTTCGCTCACTTCCCCCTTACCCATATCGTCTTTCACGCAATCCATCCATTTCTTTTTAGGTCTACCTCTTTCTCTATATCCTTCCACATTCATAGTTAACATTTTCTTACCAACCTCATTTTCATTTCGTCTCATCGCATGTCCATACCATCCCAAACGCGCACTTCTCAGCTTCTCTGTCACAGGTGCCACTTTCAGACTTCCTCTAACATATTCATTCCGTATTCTATCCATTCTCGTTACTCTACACATCCATCGCAACATTCGCATCTCTGCTGCATGCAATCGCCTGAATCTCGACCGTGGACTTAATTAGGTACGTGTGTCTTTTTTTTTGTGAAATATGATGCTATGATTGCGTTGACAAACAAAAAAAAACATGGCGGATCGAACGACGCCATTATTGTACAACATTGCACACTGGGTTTACTAACCTATTAAAACACGACATGTTTCTAATAACAAAACAGATATCAATGCAGGCTATCGTACTGTTCTGACGAAATAATTACTAACAGTACTCAGTTCACGGCGAAATATTGATAAACAACTTCATTAAATCACACTTGAATTCAATTTATTTTAATTTTATTTAATGTTCATTACGATGCCGTGAGAAATATTATATTTATTTAAAGTATGTAGTGAGAAAGACTTTCAAACTACACTGCACTTCTAGATGATTTAGTTTATGGAAAAAGCGATTTTCAAATGTTTTCTAATTACTTGTTAAAATAAAGCGCTTTTTTTTTGACGTGTCGTAAATAATTTCCTGTTACTAGATTTGCACAATAACTTTTTACATAAACCCATACTTACTTACGTTCAGTGACATCTATGTGCATACATGGGTAGAATTATAGAAGAATTCGATACATGTAGCGACATCTATTGGACGGTATCGGAAAACTATATGAAATTTTCGGAAAGTATTTTTGTGATATGTTAAGAGTTTATGACAAAAATATAAAATAGTACATAATCACTTCAGATATTTATTTATATAAATATATATTTAGTAGTAGATAAGAAGTGTACACATTTTTTTTAAACAACTAAATAGCAGCTCTTTTTTTTTCAATTTATCTAAGTATATAAAATGAATGTAAGCGTACATGGTGTATATTCGTAAATTCTTCATTTGACTGCGATATAACATGCTAGGTACAGTTGTTGTCAGTTCTCCGGGGCAGGTTTCTGTCGTAATACGATTTACGTAAAGATTACGTACGCACGAGTTTTTTTTATTTATTGTTTAGATGGGTGGACGAGCTCACAGCCCACCTGGTGTTAAGTGGTTACTGGAGCCCATAGACATCTACAACGTAAATGGGCCACCCACCTTGAGATATGAGTTCTAAGATCTCAGTATAGTTACAACGGCTACCCCACCCTTCGAACCGAAACGCATTACTGCTTCACGGCGGAAATAGGCGGGGCGGTGGTACCTACCCGCGCGGACTCCCAAGAGGTCCTACCACCAGTGACGAGTACTTTCATCAGGTCATATTTTATTCTCATAAAACTTTTTTTTGTGAATGTGGCGTTACTGTTGGCCCAGAGGCCTTTCCCGTTTCACCAGGACAGGTGGACGAGCAAAGGCTCAGCAAGGAGGGGTGGGATTTGCTAACAGCTACCCGAACGCCTCCAAAGGAGACCTAACAACTCAAGAGCAACTGTTTCTCGAATGAATCGCATAAAGCTNTTCATCAGGTCATATTTTATTCTCATAAAACTTTTTTTTGTGAATGTGGCGTTACTGTTGGCCCAGAGGCCTTTCCCGTTTCACCAGGACAGGTGGACGAGCAAAGGCTCAGCAAGGAGGGGTGGGATTTGCTAACAGCTACCCGAACGCCTCCAAAGGAGACCTAACAACTCAAGAGCAACTGTTTCTCGAATGAATCTACTAACGGATCTCATAAAGCTATCGAGTGTCATAATGAAGCTTTTCCAGACTTAAAAATCTCCAGTCAAAATAGTTTCTCTTTATAAAGTTTTTTTTACTATGTTTTATTGCCAAAATGATGTCGTAAATATATTTAGTCGTAAAGAATTTAAATAGATACCATTATTGGTGTAATATATTTTGTATTGCCCGACACTCTTTTTTTATTGCTTAGATGTGTGGACGAGCTGACAGCCCACCTGGTGTTAAGTGGTTAGGTACCAATGTAATATGTAATCTACAACGTAAATGCTGCCACCTTGAGCTATGAGTTCTAAAGTCTTAGTATAGTTACAACGGCTGCCCCGCCCTTCGAACCGAAACGCATTACTGCTTCACGGCAGAAACAGGCGGGGCGGTGGTACCTACCCGTGCGGACTCACAAGAGGTCCTACCACCAGTAATTACGCAAATTATAATTTTGCGGGTTTGATTTTTATTACACGATGTTATTCCTTCACCGTGGAAGTCAATCATTAACATTTGTTGAGTATATATTTCATTAGAAAAATTGGTACCCGCCTGGGATTCGAACATCGGCGCATCACTCAACACGAATGCACCGGACGTCTTATCCTTTAGGCCACGACGACTTCCGACGACGCCTCTCAAGGCTATCAGCTTTAGTAGGAAAAAAGTCCCTTTCTAGATTATAATTTAAATAAAATCATTCTATAAACTGGTCGAGAACATGTTTAAAAGTCATTCAAAGTATATTATTTATTTTCCTAAAAATTTTACTTAAGTCAATTAATTAAAAAAAAATTATGATTGAACGGTTACTGGTGGCCCGGTGATCTTTCCAGTTTCACCAGGACAGGTCGGCGAGCAAAGATTCAGCCAAGAGGGGTGGGATTAACTAAAAGTTTTTTCAATTCGAATGGTGCGATATATTCGTTGCATTGTTTTCAGGGTGGCAGCCCTAACTGGATACGAGCCACAGGATCTAATCGAGAAGACATTGTACAACTTTATACACGGAACCGATGTACTTCATATGAGATATTCACATTGCACTTGTAAGTATTTATGTTTCGTGTCTTGCACTTTGATGGTAATTTAATTTCGTTGATAAATCGACAAATTCAAGAAATATTATTATAAATAACATTCAGCTAGAACTGAATGACAATGTTATTCCCCCATAGACACAGCCCACTGAGTTTCTCGCCGGATCTTCTCAGTGGGTCGCGTTTCCGATCCGGTGGTAGATTCTGCGAAGCAATGCTCTTGCTAGGACCAGTGTTAGCAATACTCCGGTTTGAGCCCCGTGAGCTCACCTACATGTTAGGGCAAAGTTGAAAAAGCCTCTCAAGGCTATCAGAATAGGTAGGACAAAAAAAATTGTTATTCCTTGCACCTGACGAAATATTGATCATCAACTGTTTTATATTTTGCGTGCTACATCACGCTAATAACGGTACTTTATAAAAAAAATATATTGCATAGGTGGGTGGACGAGCTCATGGCCCACCTGGTTGTTAAGTGGTTACTGGAGCCCATAGACATCTAGACCGTAAATGCGCCACTCACCTTGAGATATAAATTCTAAGGTCTCAGTATAGTTACAACGGCTCCCTCGCCCTTCAAAGCATTACTGCTTTACTTTGATCTTAAAATATTAAGCGAAGTTTGTGATGTTAGTTATTCTTTCGCTCAAAATATATAGAACTGATTATGATGAAATTTCACAATCTAATAGCTTAAATGAGTCGACTATCATCAAAGCCGGCAATGTGACTTTTGGACAATTATTGGTAAATCAGAAAAACGAATTATTGACTTTGTATTTCATTGGCAGTCACAAAACTCTTCTGAACGACATCTTAGATAAATAACAGGTTAAGTATTAACCTTTATTTAATGCAGGTTTAGAACCGTATTCTTTGAAGGAGACGATTATATTCAAATCAATCTGTATTGACATATCAATAACATTTTTTTGTCCAAATGCACAGATTGCCACCTTTGATAATAGACGACTCAAATATCAGAAAAGCTCATAAGCTGTGATTTAGTACGATCAACGTACGATAGATGGCGTGGTTAGTCGTTTGATAAGTCGATGGTTCTCAACGCAGCCGCAGCGGAGTCTGAAATAAAATAATTGCTAACATTTTTTTACAGTACTGACAAAAGGTCAAGTGACGTCACAGTACTACCGTTTCTTGACCAAATCCGGCGGCTGGGTGTGGATGCAGAGCTACGCGACCATTGTGCACAACTCTAGGTCGTCCAGGCCTCACTGCATCGTGTCTGTTAATTATGTTTTGAGGTAATTTTTCTTAACTTTCAAATTTCATTTAGATTATTTTTATTTCTAACTAGCTGACCCGGCAAACTTCTTAGTGCCTCAATCGATAAGCAAAAGACCTTAACTTTTGTATAAAATAAACTTAATACAAACAAAGGCAATCCGTCCGAAGGGGGACACATCAAAGGGAAAACACAATTGTTATTTTTATTTTATTCCGAGCATTTTCATATTTATCTACCTTTGAATCCTTCTCTGGACTTCCACAAATAATTCAAGACCAAAATTAACCAAATCGATTCAGCCGTTCTCGAGTTTTAGCGAGACTAACGAACAGCAATTCATTTTTATATATATAGATTTGTAATTTTGTTTTCAATCGCCAAAGCTATGTACATTAATACGCGTTTGCTGAGTGCATATATCATTTAGATTGCAATCCAGATTAGATTTAGGTACTACTTGTACGATTTAGCTAATATATAATGTACTGTAATGATTGTAATTTGCTTTGTGCATCAATAAAAAAACAAGTTTAATAATACAAAACGTTAATGGCAAGTAGATGGTCCCATGATGGGAATTTCTAAAGACAATGATTTCTCTTAACGGACACGGATACTGAAGATATGGTCAAAATAGATATAGGCACACATCGCTACCAAGTCAAGAGCCGGAGAGGGACTTTCGCCCGTCCCCGTTATGCGTCATCCTCGCCCTTCTCATGCTCCCGATAAAGGACGTGGATAGATCTGAGGGGATCAAAGCCCATAGGTCATGCTACGCGCTAACAACACACTAGCGCGCCCGAGCTACAGTTCCGCGGAGCTTCGCTGAATCGTTTTGTGCTACTGGTGGTAGGACATATTGTGAATCCGCACGGGTAGGTACCACCACCCCGCCTATTTCTGTCGTGAAGCAGTAATGCGTTTCGGTTTGAAGGGTGGGGCAGCCGTTATAACTATACTTGAGACCTTAGAACTTATATCTCAAGGTGGGTGGCGGCATTTACGTTGTAGATGTCTATGGGCTCCAGTAACCACTTAACATCAGGTGGGCTGTGAGTCCGTCCACCCGTCTAAGCAATAAAAAAACAAATGGTGGCGAATTGCGTTCCTGAGGGGCTGCCTTACCGTGATGGCCAGTACCAAGTCGTCGACTGTCACCTCGACAATTCCGTTGGCCGAATGCGTTTTTTTTTAGTATTGACCGTGAAATTTCCCCTAATCCTAGTACTATCTCGGGCGAGGATTGAACATCAGGAGCAAGTGGTTGATGGGGCTTTGTCGGTTATCGCCTTGCGAGGCAAACTTCGAGCCTTTACCGAGATGTAGTTAGTCGTAAATTAGATATTCCATCGCAAAAAGGCCGTATCCAATGACCGTTCGCATATGGACAACCCAAAAAACTCCAGATATGAGGGCGAGGACCGCACCTTAAGCCATTTATCCGATTATTTTATCTTGAGTCTTGACGCTGAAAGCCGCTAATATTCTCTTTTCAGCGAAATCGAAGAGAAACATCTCATCTTGAACATCGATCAGGTGCCGCCGAAACTGAACCACGATGCGCCCACCCCGTCTCACGTGCCGACCACCACCACGTCTCCCCAGATGCACATTAGACACACAGACAAAATAAACCACATACATTTAGATAGCGAGTTCAGCGGCGACTCGAGCGGTGGGTACACATACTCGGAGTACGCCCTGCCGGTGATACCGACCTACGAGAACCAGGACGACTACCATCACCAGCAAAACGGCTACCAAGAACTCTTCTACAACGAAAACTACACCGAACCGGAGGTCATACAGAACAGCTACGTGAGCTACCCCCAAAATCAGAGGCCTTTTTCGGCCAGTTCCTCATCGTGCAGTTCAATAGAAGGCTCTGAGGTCACGAATCAATATAACTACACGAATTTGATATCGTTTTATCCCAATCAAAACGGTAGGCCGGTTGTGGACGGGAATTTTAGTAATTTCGGTAAGATGACCCCTAGTCCCTCGGTCCAGGAAGGATACACCAGCGTCATAGTGGACAACACTCAGCAGTTCCACCACCACGGGGGTGCGGTGAATGAATTTGTTCATTGATCATTTCCTTTAGATTCGATGGAAGGTTCTAGATAGTGGTTCAGTCAAAAGCGAAAGGTCGTACGTCTGATTTATATGTGACTGTGAACGTTTTCAAGAAAACGAAGATTGGTGGCCGCACTGCTGTTCCCTAAAATTTAAAAAAAAAGCGCAATTTTGCATCATTAACTTTTTCGGCCCGCTCCCAATTTTAGACAATTAAAAGTCTTGACTTGACAGTGTGACGAGGCAAAGGTTTTGAATCCGCTTCCGTCATTACAAATACGATACAAACAGAAGACTTAATTAATATGAATCCTATTCAATACCCGACCGTGTTAATACTTAATACTGACGTTAAACAACGCCATCTAGTGTTCGGGAGACGTGACCGCTTCCTTGAAAGTAATTCTGACGCGCCTTTTGTGCGAGTTTTTAGCTTAGCAAAGATATATTTTTAAAGATTTTTTTAAATCATTGAACTCGATTTTACGTCTTGTAAAAAATGCGATTTAATTTTACTAATTTACGATAGTTTCCTTTAAAATGAATAAGTACTTTGTAGTTTTTTATGTTTGAGATCAACGAATTTTATTTAGAATCTCAATCTTTGTAATATATTTTATCGTATGCTTTAAATATACAGCGAAAATACCTGCGCCTAAATCTTGCCTATTTTAATTATGACGAATTTATAATAACGTATCTTCAAAAATAGAGGATTATTTATCTAAGTAGCAGCTTAATTTGCTGCAATGTTAAAATTTTATAACCTTCAAAATTGCTTCCCATAGGTGTACAGAGGTAGGAAGTTGTTAAGTGTGAATAAAAACTTGTAAATAGTTTAGGGTTCTCTATTTTATACAAAATATATATATATAAATATTTTATGCATTGATTTATTATGTATCGTAATTTATTTGTGAACATTAAGGGCACTATAGTCCAGAAGGCTTGGTAAGTTTTTTTTTTTCTTCATATTTATAACAATTTCATTAAATAAGTAAATAGAATATTGATCTTAGCGTTGAGCGATTATAAATAAACTATAGAAATTATCTAGTAAGGTATGAAATTATTTTGAAATGCCTTCGCGGGCCGCAGGCGTGAATTAAATATTAATATGATTTGAAAATATTTTGTGTTATAATTATAGAGGGTGGAGGTAAATTATCTCAGACTAAGCTCTATTGAGGTTACTAGCAATACGTAAGCAAAGAAAAGGAGATGAGAACTGACCGTGTCCGGCTGTGAGTGGTCATTAGGGTTGCCACCCATACTTTATAATAAAGGATTGTACATTATTTCAGTTAATTGTACTCTATACTTTATGTGAACAATAAAGTACACGAAATTAATATAATTAGCATGATTTTATTTCTTTGAGATATTTAAAAGTTTACTCATTGTATTTTTTCGTTAAGAGAAATAGAAAATCATGTACAATGTCCATGTTGCACCCACCATAGTTACTGTTGGGAGCTCTACTCTTGAAGTTGTTGACGAATATATATACCTAGGACAGGCAGTCCGATTAGGTAGGTCCAACTTTGAGAGAGAGGTCAGTAGACGGATCCAACTCGGCTGGGCAGCGTTCGGTAAACTGCACAACGTCTTCTCGTCCAAAATACCTCAGTGCCTTAAGACAAAGGCGTACAACCAATGTGTGTTACCAGTGATGACTTACGGCTCGGAGACGTGGTGCTTCACTAGGGATCTTTTTAGAAGGCTCAAAGTCGCGCAGCGAGCTATGGAGAGGGCTATGCTCGGCATTTCTCTACGTGATCGAATCCGAAATGAGGAGATCCGTAGAAGAACGAAGGTTGCTGACATAGCCCGTAGAATTAGTGAACTGAAGTGGCAATGGGCCGGCCACATAGCACGAAGAGAGGACGGTCGATGGGGCAGAAAGATCCTGGAGTGGCGACCACGTACTGGCAAGCGCAGTGTGGGACGGCCACCTACTAGATGGACCGACGACCTAGTAAAAAGTGCTGGGTCTCGTTGGATGCAGGTGGCAATGGACCGGTCGCACTGGAAATCTATTGGAGAGGCCTATGTTCAGCAGTGGACGGCGATAGGCTGAAATGATGATGATGATGATGATGAAGCGAAATACATCGATTGCTCAATCGATCTCGCCACTCGCCAATGCTACATCACCTAAGCACTCGTTTTTTTAACAAATATTTCTGAACGCAACTTAACCTCAAATGTCAACAATGTCACTGTCATTAATTGTCACAATTTATTGTTTAATTTTTTCAATTATAGTAAAAAATATTAATTTAAACATAGGTAGGTAATAATAATAAAAAAATAATAGAACTTTATTTTAATAATACTAGGTATGTACTTTTTTCCTACCTATAATAACTAATATAATTTATTTGCAAAAAAGGTGGCAACCCTAGTCCTCATGTTTACAGCAGAACAGTTAGAAACGGAATGAAGTGTCCAAAGTTTAACAAATTATTATTAAAAACTTTTGGCGCCATCTTTGAAATTTCATCACTTGCTACAGTGGCGCCGCCATAATCGTTCCAACACAGAGATTTTCCCTTGCCTCTTCGCTCTGTAGTTTTAACAAAAACTGTTTTTAATTATCCGAATTTAAGTATTTTGTGTTCGTTAGTATTATTAATTTCGTGAATTGTGTATTTTTTCGTTCTTTTTCCTATGTGTTATGTATAAGTAATTATTTTTTCGCGACTCTTAAAAATTATTAGAACAACTTTTACGGTTCAGATTCGCTGTTCTATTATTATCTTTACTGACATTTCAAATGCTTCATAGTTATTACTAGCGACCCGCCCTTGCTTCGCTTCGGAAACATTAAGTTTTATTATTGAATAGCGGTGATGCCGCGCGGCGAAGCTAATCTAAAAAAAAAGCCTAAGTTACTCCTTATATCATCAGCTACCTGTCAGTGGAAGTCCCGTCAAAATCGGTCCAGCCTTTCCAAAGATTAGCCGGACAGACAGACAGACAAAAATTGTAAAAAATGTTATTTTGGTGTATGTACCGTATATATATTCATATGCATGTAGTATAAAGCGGTTATTTCAATATTACAAACGGACACTCCAATTTTATTTATATGTATAGATGATCACGGACGGCCGAAGACTGATCATGATTACGACAAAACAACAAATAAAAAATGTAAACGAGAATCGTGAAAATTATACATTGTGTCCATGCTTCCATTTTGTTTCGATAATAACTCTGGTAATTTTAGAACTATTTTTTTTATATATTTAAACTAACCGACATCATATTTTCCTATTTCTCCCGTGAAGCGATGCGTGCGTTTCGGTTTGAAGGGCGGGGCAGCCGTTGTCTTAGAACTCATATCTCAAGGTGGGTGGCGGCATTTACGTTGTAGATGTCTATTGGCACCGGTAACCAACTAACGCCAAGCTGTGTGCTGTGAGCTCGTCCAACCATCTATGCAATAATTTTTATTTATTTATTTAATGACCTTTCCCGAGTATACGACGCCTTGCTGATGGCTATTCAGAACTGACCCGTAATTAATGAGTCCGGCGTTAAACACGCTTTCTTACACAGCACAATGTGAGTGCGAACAAAACTAAACAGTAAAAGTAGTTTTAATTACAACAGAAATATACGATTTTTGTAAATTTAATCTAAGGAGGGTAGGAAGAGCACCGTCTTAGTGTATTAAAAAGTGTCCGCTAAAAGGGAACCAATTAAGCTGGCGCCACCGTAGCATGTGGAAAGATTTTAAAAACAGCGCCTTAAACTACCACATTTCGCTTCAATCCAGCACACTACACTCTGCTTAAAACAGCTATATATTGGAACCTCTGGGTCTGCGGAAGGGACTTCGGTTCCCTCTGTATTTTGTACCGTATGTTCCATGGGGAGTGCTCTGAGGAATTGTTCGAGATGATACCGGCATCTCGTTTTTACCATCGCACCGCCAGCCACCGGAGTTCATCCATACTACCTGGAGCCACTGCAGTCATCCACAGTGCGTTTCCAGAGGTCTTGTTTGCCACGTACCATCCGGCTATGGAATGAGCTCCCCTCCACGGTGTTTCCCGAGCGCTATGACAGGTCCTTCTTCAAACGAGGCTTGTGGAGACTATTAAACGGTAGGCAGCGGCTTGGTTCTGCCCCTGGCATTGCTGAAGTCCATGGGCGACGGTAAACACTCACCATCAGGTGGGCCGTATGCTCGTCTGCCTACAAGGGCAATAAAAAAAAAAGCTATATTCATATAATTTCCACATCCTACACTAGCACTGTTCCGGTGAGTCTTCCAACAATAGCTCGCTGTTTACAGGTGAACACTTTTTCAACTTGTCCCCTATATACAAGATGGCGCTCCTTACTTCTACCCTCCATACTTGAATATATAAAGTGCTCTGCTGTCAGAACACGTGCTTCAGAAAAATACTGTAAAATAACTACTCCTTAGTGTATCTAATTAAAATATAATTAAAACTATTGGTACAATACCGATGTATATCAATATATAGACAATAATAGATGTATGAAAAAGTTGTTTGTGTATACAGTGTGCTTGAATAGAATTGTAGGAGTTAGCATAAGCAGCGTTTATAAAGATTTAAGTACAGTTATTTTTAGATAGCGTCTATGTTAAATTGTTCAAAGTCGAAAATCTTGAGGCTCGCATGTGGTCGAAACATGACGCGGTCACGTGGTCCGGTGTGCTCATTGTGAGTTTTTTAACGTTTTCGATAGCGGTAAAAGTAAAAGTTAACTCAAATTTGTATGGAGTTGGAGCCCCTGGCGGCAAACGTAGACAAACGTTCTAACTTCATGGGTATATGAGTTAACTTTTACGCTATCGAGAACGTTAAAAAAAACTCGCACTAATCATACTGTATAATTTAGCAAGCTTTTATTAGCTTTATACGTTTGTTTACAGTAAGAGCTTCTTATTGGCGCTTCCTTAATTCACTATTCGCGAATTTTAAAAAAATATAACCCAATTCCTGTGTTTACGGCTAAAGTTCTTGACACGCAGATCTAATCGG